GCCAAAAACTGCATGCTGCAACTTTCACACTGTACAGATCATCGTGGTCAACAAATGTATTCAATATGACTCAGTCGTCACTAGAAAGACTTCTGCCTTTGTAATTTCATTGTTTGTCATCAGAAGTGAAATGTCTTTCCTGAAGCTCTTTAAAACCTGTCATTTCTAATCAAGGGTAGATCCAACCACTGTCATAACATGTAAAATATTTGAGGATGATTATCAACACTTTTCCTTCACTGTTGCAGTGACCTATTTAAAAATTAATAAAATAAAGAAAAAACTGGCCTTGAAAGCAAGTCAATTTCTAATATAATAGTAGGAGCACTTAAGCGGATGCAAGATCAATAGGTTGCACGGTATGGGTCAACTAGTTTCTTCATTTAAAATAATCACTTTGAAGGCCACAGTTCAGAATATTAACACAATCATTTAAGATCAGCAAAGCATCATCCTTCAAAGCAATTAAGGATAAAGTCTTTACCAAAAGCAAAAAATTAAGAGACCTCTCTCAGATTCAAAGTTTATCATCTTCTACCATGTTTTCTGCTTGAATTTTTTGTGCTTGCATTCTGATATCATGCACTTTCATATTAGACAGGGGGTAAAGATAATGATGTCATCCAGTAGAGTTCCTGCACAGTCAGCCTCACACTGTTATTTCAAATAAAAACGCCTATCAATACTACAACATTAGTACTAATGCATTCCGCCTACTTACAAAAAGATCGTTTTTTTTTCTGAGATTATTGTTAAATTATAAGTGTTTCTAAAAAGCAACTGAATGAGGGCTGAGTAGGATTAGAGTGGAAAAAACCCCAATATGTCACTGTTTAAACTGGTCAAGAGAACACCATCAAGATCAGCTCTCAGTCAGTCTACTAGCTGAATAGATGTTCCCTCGGGGAGTCCTAATTTGTTTGGGGGTTTAAAATTGAAACGTAACATCCTCGGGGGACATTCACAGAGGTCCTTTTTGATAGAAAACAGCAAATTTTAATTAAGAACAAATTGTTGTATTTAAGATGGGGTTTTAAATGAATGCTTTTTTTAAAATGCATTCCTGTATTTAAAATCTTAAAAAGTCTTCTGTTCATAACAGTTCGTTCACAGTAGATGTTAAATATAACATGAAGTTCTCTCATATTTTACTTATAACAGCACACTTTTGGCAATGGACAAAAACAAGTAACTTACTTTTAAGAAAGCGAAATCCTTTTGGGTAACACTTCAGATTGAGTTCAAGTTTTACATCTCTTTTAATTTGAGGTTTTCCGTCTGAACAGCAATGTTGACTACATGTTATTTTGCGAGGTATTTCTTAGGTTTCCTCACTAGAGGTGGTGTCCTCTCTTCAGGGTGAAGGAAGTTCTAGCTTTTTTTTATTACTATCTGCTGGTAGAGACAAGTTCCCCTCTGTTCACAGGGTAGATGTGCACATCTGATCTCATTAACCAACACCTTCTTTCAAACAAATCGGCCTTGTCACAGCACTACAGATGTGCATTTCATTTTTTTTTTTGCTGCAGGCTGAAACTTTTAATTGTGCACTGATTTAATGAAGCATGGCTGATATTTATACAACAAAGATCCTAGAGGGCTTGACACCCAGTAACCAAACAGTGTTCAAATCTATCAAGATCACTGGCATTTCCACCTACATTTAAACCACTCTCTTCACAAACCCTCCAGGGAGCTCCAGCATATGCTCACAAACAGCCTTGTAATAAATACACTCTACTTTAAACTGCTCTCTAATCAACTAAGGAAATGCACAAAAAAATATATTATCCTGTTGTAGCAGCAACATCCCTTTCAAAATGCCAAATGGTTTAGGGCATAATGGGTTTGAATACCACTCAAATGTCAGTGAGGGCCACAAGTCAAACAAAATTACCACCTACCTGTGCAGATAGTCTTTGCTGCTCAAAGTACGAACAAACATGCTGATAGGTCAACAAAGAGAACAAGGAGCTACATATCGTCTTAAACAATTGTCTGCCTCAGAACCTTAACCCTTTTAAACCATTAGCATGCAGCTTTTAGAAAATGTTTTTTTTCTAAAGAACTTCCTGTATGGCAGGATGGCATAGTTTAGCCAGTAAGTCATGGGCTTAGGTTCCTGTGTTTTTCCCAGTTGCTCCACTTCGCTATATAAATGGAGACCAGAAATGCTGGGGGATGGGGAGGGTGGTCCAGCAGCCTGTCCAGGGGGGAGTCACGTGCTCTGTAGCCCATTTAATACCACAGAAACCAGGATAATCACTGGCCAACCCAGCCAAAGTCACCCAGATATGGAAATTACGTGCTACAGTGTGATGAAAAAGCAGGTACAGTACACCTCCTAAAGATTGCATGGCTTAACATATTTAGACATATCTGACCTTCACCTACTGAAGACCTTTTTAAATAAATAATGACAGAGTAGTGTGTTATTTGTCAAATAAGGTTAATTTATCTACTATTAGGACTTGTTGAGGACTAGGTGAAAGTAAAATATGTCTAAATATGTTAAACCACAAACCTTAAGGGGGTGTACTTTTTTACTACACTGTATAAGGTGAGACCCCACTGGGGGTGTATATTTTTTACTTTTCTGTGTGGCTAATAAAATAATTGAGTGGCACTGCTTCAAAAATCTCTAAATGGATTTCTATATGACTTCAGGAATTCATGAATTTTCATACATCTGTCAGAAAAACTTCAGTTACATTAATCTGTTCCTAGTCATAAGAAGCATATGCCTATGGGAAGTATTGATTAAAGCTTCGGCTGCAGACAGGACTCCAAATCACCTCTTAGACAAAGCCCTTGGCTTTGGTTATAAGTTAAAGCCAAAAACAAAATAAAGGTTATTAAACTAGTAAGACAGGTGAAATATACATAGCAAAATGATTTTTCTTCTTCCAAGTTAACGGTGCCAATTTGTGATTGTATTTGAAAGTGTAAGTCACAAGGTGCCAAACAAACTCTTACACAGCTAACAACAAGAATTATAAACACCTGAGCCCTACTTTATGTCACCCTAGGCAATAAGGAAATAATTGTGCAGCTCTGAAAACAAAGAGGACTGTTTTCATTCCAAATTACAGGATTAAAAAAAACTGTGATTTGAAATACTAAATATAAGGCAGACTAATATTAATGGAAGCATAAATATAATAATAATTAATATAATTAATATAATAATTAGTCCCTAACCAGAGTTTGGTGGCTGCTGAAGATTAATTTTAGAGGCACCTGCAACCACTAAACCACATCTTTCAATAACACTTACTGTATTGGACTGATATTATTATATAATATCAGTATAGATATATAATGTATAATACTAATTGTACTGGGGTACAATGGGATGGGTATCTATGAGGATTTTCTGTATGCACACACTCAGACAACTGTTTTACTAGTTAAATCGTTTGAATAGCACTTTTCCTGCACATCCAGTTTGCACTAATTTCATTGTCATTTTATTAATTTATTTTAACTTACTTTACTTGCATGATAAATCCTTTATATTTACAATTAAAGTAAAGTTTCTGTTTTGGATGTTCGCTGGCTAAGTAGGTCTGCTAAGCAAATAATAAGCAAAGATAAAGAAGAGCTATCTTTAGAAGTGCACGCCTTTAACAATGAGTACTGGACTACAAAGTAACAGTAACAAACTGATTTAACAATTGGAAGGTGTTCGCTTTTTTGCAGAAACAAAAAGAGTCTTACAAAAGACAATCACTTCATAGCACAAACGGTGTTTAAATTAACGATTTGTTAGCTGCATTCTTCTCATAGACTTTCCAAAGTAATTATCTGGCAATACAGAAGTTACTCGTTTAACAAAGTAAAATTGTTTAATAAAGTAAACTTTAACTTGTTTAATAAAGTAAAAGGAATTAGTAAAAATCCTAAAACTTTCTACAGATTACAAACAAATTCATGTTTTGGTAAGAGATCCTGAAAACTAAAACCAGGTATTGACTGTTATCCAGCACACATATACAGAAACTTTCCTAGAGAGAAAGTCAATACTATATAAAGGTCTTCATGATCTCCAGATATGGAAAAACAATTTAATAGCTTTTATAGTAAAAAAAATACATTGCATTTCCAACACTGTTATTAAAAGATACTAAACACAGTCAAATATGCTCTCAAAAATAAGTGTCAATTCAACACTAAAATGAAAAATCAATTTAAAAAAGATCTGAAGAATAAAAAAAAAAATCAGATTACAGTTGATTTTATAATATCCAGCACCAGTTTAGATCACATTTTCATACCCCTGGCCACTATTCTTTATAATATTGAAAAAGTAGCATTGTCTCAATCGATAAAATGAATTGAAGAGACAAAAGAAAATTGTAGATGATAGCATGACACTATAGTGGAGGCTAGCCTTCACCGAGATTCTATGAAATTGCACACTGCCATCAGTACTTCAAAAGGTTTCTTAAACAGTTTGGTCTCTATTAGGTTTTTATCAATACCGTTTTTCAATTCTATCATATTCAAAACTTCCTATATTTGTCATTCATATTTATTCTCATCTAAGAACCTATGTGATCTAAAAAAGTTTTTACTTTCTGGTAATTTAAGTAATGAGGGCAATCTAGGGGTGATTGCAGAGGCATCTGTCTTTCCTTTAAAATGCAGTAATTTAACAGCAAAAGAGAAGCTGCATTTTTGAAAGCAGAACAGGGCTAAGCCATCACCCAGTACTCAGTAGAAGCCTTCAAGGATGACTACATAAATTATGTCAAATCGGTATAATATGAATGCACTTCCTAATTCACTTTTAGTACAAAACATTTTCTCACGCATTGGAACATTCTCTTGTCAGAAAGAAACCTAGCAGAAAAAAACTTCAAGGTAACAAATCATTTTTTAAAGAAACACTTAGTTTAAAGTGATGGTTTAAGGAGCTTCCCAGATGTACAGTACTTTGTTAATGTTCTTTAAAAAAACATTCTTGACTGTTACAAAGAACACAGAAAATGTTTTACCTCAGCAACGGGTGGAAAATGACCGTAATGTTTCTTGCTCCTGGTTTGCAAACAAACTTTGTCTCTCCTCCTTCAATTAAGTTGTCATCAGCCCCTCCTAAAAACAGTTAAAAGGTACAGCTTAGAACATCGATATATACAACTCAAGAAAAAAACTGAATTAATAAAAAAATCTCCAGCATTCTATTGTATGAATATAACTTCTAAGCATTTCTTTTCCACATACATTAATTTTAAATATGAATCCTTTAAATACATTTCAAAAGCATAAAACCCTTAAATCTACAGTAAAGCACAAACATTCAATAAACATTTAGGAATACTCCCTCTTCGACCAGGTTTTCAATAATGAAATAAATATAGTTCCTTGAATTACCCCAGAAATTAAAGACACTAAGTATTAAATTTAAGATTCCGGAGATACAGATTTATTACATGTTAGAATAGCAGAAATGAGTTTTAGAAAATGACAATTAACTTTATTTTGGTTTGAATTCTTCCTTTGCTATTCACTTTATACAAGAAATAATATTCTAAATTCCCATCGAAGAACTTAAAAAATCTCTTAATCGAACCATAAGAACATGACACATAATTTATAAGTTTTCCAACAAATTGTTTTGTTTTCTAAGTAGAAATATTGTCTCCAAAAAAAAGAGGACATTACAAAGTTTGATTTAGAAGTGTTTGGGTATCATAACTTAAAAACTGTCCAGGCTTTCCCTGAATTAAAATGTGAACATTTTTTTTTTTGGCCCACCATTGCCACTCAGCTTGTAAGAAGTCATTTCCAGACGCTGTTGACAATGTTAATGACCTCAACTGATGAACAAACCTGGCCAGTCGAAATCATTACAAAGACAGTCCTGCCCCTATAGTTTGTGCAAGTGAACCTGACACAAACTGGGTTAATAAGGAAATCATTGGCGTATAAATCACTGAGGCATAAAGTAGAAAATCAACTGTCGGACGTCTGTTTTCCTTATTACCTCAAGTCATCCTGAACTAATCAATATAATTGACAGAGAATGAATTCCACACTGTCAATAAAGGTTCCCAAAATGGCAAACTATGCACGCCTTGGTGCACCAATGAATATAAATAAAGATACTAGCACTCTGGCATTTCTACCATCTCAGTAGCAATGTTAATTTACTTTATATTATATTTTTGAAAAACTAACCATGTTATGTCTCAATGAATGAGCCTCTGTTACATTAAACAACAGTATCATACCTTTTGTTTAAATGCTACTTAGTAAAGTGTACTAAAAGACAGAATTCCATGGACTGGCTGAACTACAGAACATGGAATTCAGAACACAATGAAGTAAAATGTGTTTAAAACAAACACATAAATCTACCAAAGCAAAGTGAAAACCTGTAAAATATCCAAGGTTCTGACTTTTTCATAACTCCAAGTTTAAGATTTTTGAAATAAAATATTAGGCACCCAAACTGGATAAAGTGGGATAAACACTTCAGCAGTGCCAACTGCATATCCTCAAACTAATAATGGGATATCACAGCCATTTTCTCATTAAAGTTGTTGTCAAAGGCAGTTTTAAGAGCAACATGTTTATAACCTTTTTCAACAAACAGGTCAGTAGTATTTTCAACATTGTGGTAGGATACAATATTTTGAGGCGTTCATTGAAAATTTTGTTATTGATACTAAGTGCAGATTACTCATAATGTAAAGGTACTTCATGAATTCTGCATTTAGGCCTCACACTATGGTTTGAAACAGTTGTTTTACTTCAGTCTTTTGGCTTGATAGTAAATCCACTGTCTTCTTCTCAGTAATACAGCTCATCCTGCAGCGCTAATAGGATTCCATATATTAACCTGGTCTTTTCATTCCCATCCTTTGGAGACATGTTCTAATAATTGTACAAAGATTTAATTTCCATGCAATCTCCTCCCTTGGTAATGCTAAGGGAAAATAATACAGGAAATTCTTAAAATAACTATGTCTGGAGGCAGCAGAGATTGCCACAAAATATCTACCTACCTAATTAGTACATCAAACAGAAGCCAGTTTGATTTCAATCTGTGTAAAGCTTGTAATTCTTATGAATTATTGTTGTTTCTCACCAGTGATTAGTGTGATGTGTCCAACCATTACAACTAGGAAAGAACTACGAAAGGGACGTAGTCTCCACATAAAAATGTTTTTCTTTTCTTGACAACAAAATAAACACATACAGTACATGATTAGACATACTGTACAGTATCATTGCATCAGTTTCAAAACCTGTTGTCATTTCTTCTGATTTAACTAAGGGAAAGTTTGGTTTGACTGTGTCGAGTTATATTGTATCATGGTGAAAAGCAAGAGCTCCACTGAGAACCTGTCTGCCTTGTGATTTTTTTTCTTTTACAGTTTCCTCTAACACAGAATAGATGACGCAGAATAAAATCAGCGACAAGGTGATTCTTCTTAATCAACTCTTGCTGTAGGCCTGGACTTTCTAATGATCATTATGTCACTTTTGCATCATAATTGTTGAGTTTGGTGAACACTCCATCATGTAACACACTGACATATTACTGAGTACTTCAAAGAACAGCCTTCTTGGCAAAAGAAAATTATGAATCCATAGTATGAAACCATAGAACGAGGTTATATACGAAACCTTGGTACATGGTTTACTGTACTCTTCTTTCTGTGCCTTTTTTAGCCCTCACGTTTAAAAGAACTGGGCAATCAGCATGTTCTCACATGGTCGTCATGTCTTATCATTCAGAAAGCTGTCTGAAGGATGCTAGCAAAGAGGGAATTGTAGACTCCATTACAGCAGGCAGTAGATGCAAAGAAGCAAAAAGGGTTAAATGCTCGTAAACCAAAACCACTCACATTTTAAAAAGCAAGTTACAGATTTACACTCTTACAAGATTTACAAGTCAAAAAGGTTGATTTTCAATGGAAGATTTATATGATGCTGACATTCAGCATTTATTTTTTATACTCAACTCCCTGTAATAAATGCATGAAATAAGAAAAGTACAGAGGGGTACAGGCACAATCAGTTTCCACAACCTTTTTGTTTCAACAAGCAATGCAATAAATATTTTGTACATATAAGTACAAAAACTGTTAACATGTTTGGGCAAGTATTCCTAAACAAAGTCAATATCGGTGCATATCCTCCGTTGACTTCTATTCTAACGTGCAAATGATTCTGAAGCACTGGATGAGCTGTCAGCAACTATCGTGTGTGAAGATATATATAACACCTTTAAACTGGAAAGAAAACTTTTTTTTTCTCAATCTCATCTCTAACCTTTTTTTCACATTGGAAAAAAAAGTTGTATTGGGGGAAAAAAAAGTGGCTTCTATAAAACCATTTTTATTTTGTGGATGAAATTCACTTTTGTGGAAACTGATTTCTGGCTGCTGAGTGGAAACAGAGCCTACACATCCAATTTTCTCATCTTGTTCCTGCCGTTCCTCTCTGCCAATTCAATTAAGACTCAATTACGACTTAAAAACAATACAGTGTGCTCACTGGCTATGTTCAAATTAGAAACTCTAGCTCCCTGCACTAATTCTGCAAGCACTCAAAGTACCTTAAACTTTAATACAAAGCACCTCTTCTCCTGAGAACACAGCTGACATTTAAGATGAAGTGTATCTATGGAGCAATGAAGTTCAAACGGTGATAACAAGCATGGTAATTGAAAACTCAGAGGATATTGGTCTAATCAAGAAAACAGTCAAAGCTTTAATCACATGCCTCCACTATGAACGGGGATTTGAAAATCCTGTTATTCAACAAGATGACCCTAATATTGGGATTAATCAAAGTCCCAAACAGCAGGAGAAGAGAACCTGTTTTTAATTAAAAAGAAGGAATAAAAATGCTTTTTCACTGAAACAGGTTTCACAAAGAAAAAACTTAAAATGATTTTCCAAGTTCCACAGGTATATAAGCCATGGGAAAGCCAAATATTAAAAATTAAGCATTTGTAAACAATACATGTTTAGAATTCGACTACCCTGTTAGTCTGAGACTCAGTCTCATTTATTGGCTCAAAATACAGATAGTAATTCTCTCACAGTTTAAGGTAATAGCACACAATAGCTTCATTTTCTTAATTTTGATTTTGAAGAAGTCAACATGTCTAAAATAATTACAATATGCATAAAGAAAACATGAGTGTTTTAGTATATGTATTAGAACATAAACCAAAATTATTTTTTATTGAAATTCACTTAAAGACTTTGTTTAAAACTCTTGTCACAATGACACAAAAATGAAGTCACACTGAACATGAAAGGAAACACAGTAGCCTCTATATACGCATTTACACATACACATGACAATAACCATTTAGGGATACACAACAAAAAATCACCATTTTACTTCAATACCTTCCTGAGTGCATAATTGTATTTACATAGTGACCATAGAGGTTATAGAACAGGAACATGTAAGTCATTTGATTTTGTAATAATGCCAGATGCTCTGTTTTTTTGGTATTTCTGTTTAGTTAAAATTGCCAAAATAAGCTGAAAATCTGTATGAATAAATATTTAAAAATGTGATTTAATCAATTAAATAACACTAAAAGATACATCTTGACCTGCCTGAGTAATTAAGAGTAGTTGGAGGACTGGCTGAAAGAATGAAATCGCCATTTTCTCTGGGCCAAAGATTAGCTGAGGTAGGAGCAGAGAAAGTGATGGAGTTTTTTTAGTCACCAATAAATGACATTTTGGCCTTGAAAGAAATTACAGCACAAAACTGTTGGGAAACTCTTCAGCAGGCATTCTACTTATTGCTGTAATGTGCAAGCTGACCAATGGGTCAGTGCACGTGTAAAGATGAGAAAAAAAAATATCCTTCCGCACAAGAGCACAGTTGGTGCAGATTCAGGGTAAACTTAATGATCAGCTGCTTCTCGTGACCTGAATCTGACAGAACAACGTGCCAGTACTTTAAACAGGGGACAACTATGACTTCTTGGCTCTAGCAGTATAGAACATCCCCCCAGCAGTCCATCCAAAGGCTGATTAGATCTGAAAGACAATGGTACTGAATCTGTGCAATTAATGTGCAAGGAGGACAGACCCTACATTAAAAATATGCTT